GCCGTTGGGGCGTTATAATGTGACGGTCAATCCCGGTCAATTCGTTGATAAAAGAGTAGCCCAAGAGTTGGCGGTGGGTGGTGATGACTAGCTGCCTTCCCTCTAGTCTTACACTGCTAAATTAGGGACGGCTAGCGCAGATAGCCCTCGTGTAGCTTTGCGCGAAATTCAAAAAAAAAAAAAATAACTTATTTGAAATTTGTGTTTTCGCTCCACGGGTAATAACGACTTTTTTATCAATTTGAAAATCAAAAATTCAAACGAACAAACATTTAAATATAATCTTTTCTGTCAATAATATGAATTCTAACACTTATTCCCTAACAATTTGTTGTACCAAGCGACAGATGGTGGCATATACTTCACTCCCTTTATGGCTTAAGGGCTATAGGGCAAAATTATAGGCCAAAAAATGATACTCAGGTGCACACCCTCAGAATTCTCTTGGTACACATGAAAACTGTTGAGTCTCTAGGTTTTATTTCTCTTGGAGCAATAACGTTGACTGACTGACTGACATATACACACACACACACACACACACACACACACTATTTTATTAGTATAGGTTCAGAACTTCAGTATATTACAGGAGGAACAATATTCCCCTGTGATGATTAGAAAAACCTGACAACAAAGAACCAGTTTTAGGACTTGCTGGGTGTGTTGTAAAGCTACAGTACAATCCAGTGCCAGATAACAGAAACATTCTAAAGGCTTCCAGGAACCTAGCGTAAGAACTTGTTTCCACCTCCCATCCTGTAGACCCAAAATGGTGTTTCTGGGTGTAGTGCTCTTAGAATTATACTTAGATCTTAAAATTTTGAAAGCTGAAATTAATCAAAAAAGTAGCCTTCTTTGTTGAAATGTGTAAAGTTAGCAAGAAATAAAAACACACACTAACAAACAACAAAAGCATGGGTAATTTCAGATTATAAAGCACCTTATGCACATTTGCTTGGAACGCAAAATCAGAAACCTTGATGGTTCGGGTGTAGCCGTCTCTAATGTTGAACTACTGACTAGCTGGGCTGCCATTTAACAGCACCTGCTGCCACAAGGACTTTGTCCGGTTTTTAGAACTGGAAAGGTAGATTGTCACTTTTATAATTGACCCATAGCTGTAAGTACGAAGCAATTTATTCAGCGGCATCGCGACTCGAATCTTGGACCTTCCGATCCTCAGCTCTGCCCAGCACACTAACCACTAGGTCATGCCCAAACCCCACAGGAAAATAAACTTTTTTATAGAACTTAAAGTTCATTTGACAATCTTGTTTTCGAAGAAATGACTAAAATAAAATGTTTAAACGTTTGAGATAATTTCATACTTTCTTAGAGACCACGTATTTTTTGTTAATTCAGCACTTTTAGGATAGTGTGATTTTGCTGTTTTATTTTTTTACTCTTAGAAGACTGTATAATAGTTTTACAAATATAGAATATTTTACACAGTTCAAATATCGATCTGTATTCTGAGGTAACGTCTGTTAGACATTAATATTTTTTTTTACCTTTTTTTACGGAACAAAAACATATATATTACACATATATTAAAATTGTAAATGGAAATTATTTTTTTCAAAGGAAAATGGATATTTACAAAATACGTCAGTTGCTTCTATGAATTTTTAATGCATGAGATAGTTAAACCAATGGTATTACAATTTTTTAAGGAAGTTCAATAAACACAAACCATGAATTGTCACGAATATATTCAGTATGAAAATTAAAAAAATATTGGACGAAAATCTCGTCAATGAAATGACAATTAGGGTTCTTCAAAGACGCAAATCAAAGTTTTAAAATTTTTGTTTTACCGTAAAGTGCACAATGGGGGGGGGGGGTCTAACCTCAAATTCTAGCGCTATAATATCTCAAGCTTACAGTTAAGACATTAGAGGACAAATCAGAGAAGTTAAAATAATTTCAAACACTGTTTTAGAGTGTATTATGTTAACAGTCCCCCCTCCCCGGTTAGAAGCTTCAGAGCTGATAACGTTAAAAGTTAGAATTCAATCCCTGTAGTGAGCACGACACAGATAGCCCATTGTGTAACTTTGTGCTTAACAAGAAACAAAAAGTAAAGAAATAAAGTGTCAACAGTATGAATGGTTGTTACTTAATGGCTGTTTAGAGATATCAATAGTGTCTATTTACTTTCTCCTGATATGTTTAATTAGCATCTAGGTTTGGCTAGTGTGCCTACCTAACATGCTAAACGACAATAGTAGTTAATATATTAAATAAAAT